GCCATTTGCTCCCATACTGAGTGTTAACGTGCAGGCATTCTAGAGAGTCATTCAGTCATGATGGTCATCCAGAAAAATCTATGAAACTTTCCCCTGCAAAGCCTACGGAAATGCAACTCAACCAAAGGCGAACCAGCAGCACTATTTGACAGATCTGAATTCCAGATGCATCATCTGACTTTCTATTAACAAGCTTTAAGACCAACTAGAAGCATTAGAAAGCATGTGACCTGCAAAACCCATGTAAATGTTACATTGATCTGCTTTGGCTTCATATACACACTGATCTCCCGCATTAGGCTACAGGCACTGTGATGACTGTGAGGGCAGTCAGGCAAAGACTTGTCTCCTCACACCAAGACTGTTCTGCCATAGTGATCCCCAATGCAAAGCTGGGCTTATGCACTCTACAACACAAGTGTAATTGGACAGAGCAATCCCTACCTAAGTCTGCTTGCTTATCAGAATCTTAATTGGCAAAATATGATGCGTTAAAAAAACCCTGGTAATAAAGTCAATTTATAATATATTCATTCCTAGTTTGCCCCTCCCTCAGCATTTCTTGAGAAAGTAAGCCCACTCCTCAGTTGGTCCAGTCAAGTGCTTACCATACCCCTGAAACCAGGTTTCATCAAGGTGCAACAGCTGCTTTTGATGGCAATCACACCATGTTGTGTGCAGGTAAAACATGTTCTTCTTTCCACTATATTCAACCAATTGAAGTCAATTAGTAGCTTCTAATCTAGCTTCTGCAATTTAAATTAAAAACACAAGAAATCTAAAAAATAAAACCTATAGAAAAGGGCATAAAATCTATTAATTCTAAGATACTGAAGAAACTAATCTGAAACATTCAAATTCCTATCTACTTTCTCTCTTTTAAAGGTGAAACATATTCTGGTAGTGGACTTCTCCATATTTTATCAGCCTAAACTACTTTTTGGGATTTTTCCTTAAGCAAAATAACCACTAATTAAAAAAATAAAAACATGATGGCTTTAGAAAGAGTAAATACATTGAGCAGTTACAGAGTGCTAAATGTCAAATTCACATCATTTAACAGAGGTTCAAGTATGCCCAGCAAAGCATCAGTTCAGTGCAAAGACACATTTATCTGTGTGTTTTAATGGCTACCAGAGACAAATTACTTATTAAAAATTATAAACATTAATATTAGTTTTGCATTTCAATCTTTAATAGTTTCCAAGTTACTGATTTAAGAACAGTGTACAATAAAACATATTCTTCTGTTGGACTAAAGATACACCTATTAGAAAAATGAAAGCTGAAGTCTGAAGTCAAATGGAGCTAAAGAAAATGGCCACAAAAGCAAGGAAGCTGCTGCATGGATCCAGTGAGGCAAGACAACTCTAAAAGGAAAAGAACACTCACACTAATACTAATTTTGTTTTAAAACCCAAAAATTTTCTACATTATTAAGGAAAAAAAAATAAGATTGGGCATTCAGAAATCCTGACAAAGCAAGAATAAGCACTAGCTCTCAAGAGTCACATTACTAACAAAAAACCCCAAAGATCTCTGTCTTGCACTGTTAGGGGTGGAGCAAGGCATCTCAGACATTCCCCACCCAGGGAAGGTCCAGGGACACCTGCTGTCACAGCACAGACCCCAGCTCTCAGCAGAAGATGCTGTACAGAGAGACCTCGAGGACACACTGAGACTGGTCCCAGTGTAGTGCCTCGGCAGATCAGCAAGGGAAAGCTCTGGATTTGCCCCTGGAGGCTATTTCCTGAGCCAGCAGCCAGCCCCTTCCAACCACAACCAGCCTTCCCTGGCTGCTGGAGCGTGGGGCTGGGCAAGCGCTGCCATGACCTACCACCGAGAGCTGGACTTCTGCCCTCGGACACAGCAGCCCCTCTGCCCCTACTCCTTAGGCTGGGATGGGCTGTGAACAAGGGTGGGAAGCAGCATTTAGTTGGCTCAAGCAGCTGCTGTGGGCATCCTCCCAGCAAAGGAGAGAAGCCAATCAAACACCACTGTTGGACTGCTCTGGCTTAAATGAAGTCAGGAATTCAGTGCTTGGTTCCATCTCGCTCAGGCAAAACAGAGAGCAACAAACACGCCAGTGTGACAGCTTTTTTCCTGACATCCAGCAGGGAAAGCAACAAGAACATGTTAATCCATCAAAAACGGTCCTGAGATTAACCACACGGTGAACTACTCATGGAAGGATTTTTAAGCTCACCTTAGAAGAGATCACTACATTGTCAGACAGAGCCAGTCTGTGGCTCTATTTTCATCAGTAAATAAAATGAAAATTGAAAAACAGCCAAACAGCATGCAAGCTGCAAAGTAACAAATGTTGTTGAGCTAGCCACTAATATAAGATTTGTCACCTCTAATGACAAGCATGCACTCATTACTTTTACAAACCTTTAAAGGTACGAATTTTACTCAATCTAGTAATATAACAATACTGATAAAAACCTAATAGAGCAACAGCCTTAAAGGAGCAACAAAAGTAAATTTTAGAAGGAACTTTTAATTGACATAGAAACCCACTTTGCCATTTCAAAGAACATTTAAACTTGCACAGAGTGAAAAAATGCAACTGTGATACTGAAAATATTATTTAGCTTTTTAAATGTCATTAATGCAGTTCCACATGCCAACCATTACACACTCATCTCTCCACTTTTTGGAAAGATCATTATAAACTGGGTAAAGCTCTTTCTTATTAATAGCATGCTTATATAAACCAAAGTAAACCAGATCTCTCATCTATGATGCTGATCCTCAGCAAAGCAAAAGCACCAGCTTCTGAGGCTGCAAAGTCAAGAACAAGCATCCTGAGCCTGAGGGGGTCTGCCACCATCACAGACACACAAGAGACTGCTGCCAACAGCTTCCTGCCCTTCCCCATAACCACGACCCTCGCAGACACAGCTGCCAAGCACCTACTGCACCAGCCAGCTCTGGGAAATGATATTACTAAGCACTAATATAATGAGGCAGCAGGCTGAGCCAGATTTCAGAAGCTGCCCATACTTCTATGTCAGATGGGTATGACTGTGCAATTGCACATCCAAATATAAATTCAATCCAAGACGGCAACCAGCAACGCTCTTCTGAGTTGCCAATGGAGCAATGACTGAATAAAAGCATAATATCCAATGAAATATTTTTTTATTCTTATTATTATTGGCTTTGCCTACGTTTCTTCTGTCCCAGGGCAACCTTTCTACAAAATCTTAATCTGAGCCTAAGCTAATATACATGAACAGAGACAGCCTAAACTGAAAAACTGTAAATAAAAGCAAACTCACTTGCTTCAAATGTTTTGAAGCAGAAAGAGAAGTATTTTATCTTCTGGTGGTTTTAAAAAAATAAAAACATGGCACAAAATAACCCATAAAAATGAAGAAAATTGTTCTTCAGTTTCAAAACTTCTGCATTCAAGGACAGTGGATAACAGTGTGAGATATGAGTATTCACAAGGCAAGGACAAGTGGAGTTTTAGACATAACTTATTTCCTGTGCTATTCTGGAATTAATCTCAAGTGTTCAGAAGAATAATTTCACATGATGGAAAAAATGCTTTCATAAGCTCTAGCTTTTAGAAAGTACTTTCAAGAAAAGGTTCAGTAAAACATGAGATTTCACCTATGATTTAGCAGTTCCCTTCACTCCCAGTACCTCCTGAAATACAAACAAGATACAAACCATTTCCAACAAAGTCAGGAACTGGACAAATTTTATGAAAAAAATCACAAGTTTTTTTTCACTATTCTGCTGCTACCTGTAGATACTTTTCTCCTACCGCTTGTAATTAAAGTGCTACAGTTTATATAACACAGCAAGCATAGCTGGTCCTGGTAAATTAGCACATAGCAAATCAATTGATAGATGCACTGCAGATGATGTACAGTCTGAAATGCAGTCAAATGCACAGCTTACTCAAATTTAAAGCAAGCTCTCCCCTTCTGGAGAGGTAACATACCATGGTCCTGAGTGCTGAAATGCATGATAAGGTATTATTTGAAAAACACTGGACACCATGTTTCAAATTTCAAAGGCATTGATAGTCAGCAAAGAATGCCAAGTGAATCAAAGAAAGCTCTTGGGATTTTAATACCAAGTTATGTCCAAATTTAGAGTCTTGATGAAGTCACTAGGCTCAAGAACAGGGTCTGATTACTGTAAAATCTACTAAAGACAGAACACAGGTATTCTGTGAAAATTACTTCAGTTCTTCAACTGTTCTAGAAGGGATAAAGAACAAAGGTTAGTTTGTGCTTACTCCTATTTAAGCACTCAGATACCTCTAGAGAAGTAGAGCATGGAAGATTTAATGACTGTGTTGTATACTTTTTCAGAACAGGTATTTTTTAAAGTAGTATGGTTAAAGCAGCTTACAAAATGCAGTAACGACAGGCCTACAAAAATGCTCAGACTGCTAGCTGTAACTTCATGAATTCCAAGCTGATATCTGTGCTATGACGGAAAACATCATCGATGAAAATGATGCTATCATTTCGGAGAGGAGGAACGTTTCCATTAATTCAACCGGCACAGGACAAAGTTGAAAACACCCTGTCAGCAAATTCATACCTAGTTTTCCTTCACCGCACTGAACATTTCCCTAGCACGATAAGCGGATCTGAACGCCCACCTTAGCCATCTGTTGGCAAAAAAAAGGGCTCCTGGCAGAGATGCCCGCACGCTGCGCCGCGCCCAGCCGCCGCCCGGCCCCGGGACTGCCCGCCCCGCCTCGCCCGGGCCGGGAGAGGCCGCCTGGCCTTAGGCTGCGCCCTGGCTGGGTTCCCAGGAGAGCGGGGCACCGGGTCTGGGCATCTCCCTGCAAAAACCGGGCGTGTTCTGGCTCAGGTCCTGAACCCCATAGGTTGAGGTTATGCTGTGATCAGGGATCTCATTCCAGGAGCAGCGCTTGTACATGAAATAAAGGATCACAGAATCGTTAGGGTTGGAAAGGACCATTGGGGATCATCCCGTCCAAACGTCTGCCTAGGCAGGATCACCTGGAGCAGGTGATACAGGAACGAGTCCAGGTGGATTTTTAATATCCCCACAGAGGGAGACTCCACGACCCTCCCTGAACATGAAGACTGAAGCGAAGCTGATAAGGAGAAATGATCGTCGATTGCCGATTTGCAGTTGACAAAGCATCCAGCGTCTCTGGATGGATACGGGCAGCAACTCGGGTGGTGCCAGGGACCCTCCACCCTCAGCACCCAGTAGCTGCACAGCTGGGTGCTGATGTGTGGCCTTATTGGGTGTCCCCTTGCTCATGAGAAAACTAGGACGACTACAGGAAAAACACAGGAAAAAAACGTTTTCAGGTTCATGCCCTGAAAATAATTGCCGACAATGCATTCCCCCAGCCTCTTTCCCTCTGTTATTTTCTTAAATGAAATAGATGCTAATAAAAGATTAGTATCTTGATGGAATCTCCTGCTACAGGACAACATTTGAGTATGGATGTTTTTTGAAAATAGTGCCACTAAATTGCCATTGGCTAATTAATATAAATAATGCTTGATACATATGGAAAATTTTCTGATCCTTTTACAAAAGGTCTCCACATTTTTAGCAACCAAAGCATTTCAATATTTCTCTCTTCAAGCCATTATTTTAGATTTACTTCTTAAGATCTTTTATTTGTCTTTCTTGTGGCAATGTGCCACGAGCAACTAATAAAGTTTTTCTAAAGTACAATAAATCTTAAAGAAATTACTGCTGTCTTTACAAGCACATACAAATAATTTCTCTTTTTAAGCTAGACAAGTTGGTTGATACAGATTCACTTGTACATAGAATCACAGTTATTGTCCTTATCACAGCACAACTGTGAAAGCAACACAAAGAAACAAATGGATTTTGTTTCTGTCGTTCGTATGGTCTACGGGATCTGCTTGGCCAAATGTATCATCTGCTCCTGGGAAAGAGACAAGTGGATCATCAATACCTGCCTCAGAGCAGGATTCTGCTGCAAAACTAAAAGGTTCTTTTGGCTCTTGTGGTGGTCTCTGAACATGGTGTTGCACAACTATAACTGTGGACAGCACTCTTTAAAGGACTTCTGATGCTGAAATGTGTCAGAAGCCAGGAGATCCCTCTGGGTGCCCTGGATGGCTCAAAATCCTGGCAGGGGCTTGGAGACCCTGGCAGGAAGCCAAAGACACTTGGGAATTCGATCTCAACCCATGGAGCAAATTACTAACTTTATATGAAGAATTATAAGTCACAAAAGTTTAAGTAGCTTAACAGTAGTTGTCACAGGATGAAAGGTGGAATTTTGAAGAATTTTACTATGGGGGTCTAGGGGACAAGATGGAGGGATTTGGGCGTTGTCCTGTCCTTCTTCCTTCTTCTTCCTAGCCTCCATCTTCTGGGTGATGTTAGCATATTTGGATTGGTTTAGAGTAGAAGTACACAGTCTAACATAGATGATAGGTATTGGAAAATAACTGTAAATAAAGTACACGTAGTTTTTAGTATAAAGAGATAGCACCACCTCAGGGCAGTGCAGTGTGCCTCGGACTGACCTGCTGAACAGACCTTGGCAGGCCAGACAGAAAATGTTTTAGATAAGAAATAATAAACAACCTTGAGAACGTGAGCCAAAGACTTCTGACTCCTTCGACAGCTGGGTTGGGGAAAAGAGATTTTTAATACATCTTGGGGCCATCTTGACCAGAGGAGATCCCAAGAGAAAAGGAGCTGTCTTTTAACTGTGGTGTCTTTGTGGGGAGCAGGGGACTAGTCCTCTATGATCATAGCCACTGTGCTACATGAATGCCTTTACAAAATTACCTTCATACTGGAAAAAAACACAAGCCCATGTTTTCCTTCTGTAGACCTACTGTGCCAAACTCAAGTCTTTGATGCAATGATATCCTATAACATTTAGGATTTTTTTTTCCAAACCATATGCTAAATTTATTAATTGCTAGTTAGCATCATGTATATTTGTGCCAACATTTATTTCTGGCTGATGTATTTCATTGTTTACTTCTTTGATGCGTTTATAGGGAATTAGCATCCGTTCTGTTTCAGTATTTGGCTTGTTAGCCTAAACAAAATAGAGCTCTTCTGCACTGTCTTCAGAAGCTATGCTTTCCATTTCCATAGCCACCATGGTACCCTTTATTGGGCCTATTCCATGTTAGTTCATATTTCATGTCTGATCAGAATCTTAAACTGTCCCAGAGAGGTGATCTTATTGCATCACTGAGACCTCTTTGCCCCTGCTGGCAATATTTCTATGAATATATCTTAGGTTACATTTGCTATGCTATGGTAAGCCTGTAGGCACCTGTACATATTTAGCTCCTCTTCCATATCAGTTGGTTTGTGGAGTCAGGAATGATGATAGAAATTTTTGCCTCTAAAAAGTAATGCAGTCTGAACACCTTCCGTCCTGAGTGTTCAAAGTCTCTTAGAAGAATCAGGAAAACACAGTCCTAAATGCAAAAGATATATCTTCCTTGCTCAAACCTGTTTCAAAGAATTGAAGTACAAACACTGGCACAGCCATGCTTACCCATGCCCAAATTCCAGAAGGAGTTCCAAAGAAGAGAGGTAAAAGTCAACCTAAGGTTTGCTCAGATATTAAGCAGGTATCTAGAGAGGCCATGCAACATTGACACAGTTTCCAAAGATACTCAGGTCTCCTTCTGCTGGCCAGTAAAGGGACAGTTTTTCATTTTTTGTTGGCAAAAAAGAGGAGTCTGCCCACAGGGATAAGTTGCAAGAGATAAATTATGAGTTTGTGATATATTAGAAAAACCCGTTTTCCCTATAGTTTGTGGGCATATGTAAAAGTTACAGGTTGGTTGCATAAGTCAGCATTTTCAAGTGCCTAGAGACATGGGACTGTGGTCTAAGATTTGAAATTTTCCTGAATTTCAAAACTTAGGGAAGCAGTGGCACCAAATCTTTCTGCCAGAATCTGTCAAGGCCTCTTGCAGGAGGACTGTCCTTGCAGGTCCCAGGTGATGTAAAGTCATCTTTTTGCTTACTGAGATGTAAAGTTGTCTTTTACTTGTTTGTGACTGGCGGATGTTTATGGCTGGCACAATGAGCTCGACTCATTTCCTATGTGTAAGCCCTTGGATGTTTATGGCTGGCACAGCCTGACTGGCAACAATAAGCTCGACTCATTTCCTATGTGTAAGCCCTGTTTGTCATGTAACCACTCTTGTGTGAGAGATACCCAGAAAGGTAAAGGATATGTTTGGTAAAATGCAATGCAAAAATCTCTGAAATTAGAAATAATCATATGTCCAACAGTCTTTCCAGATAAAGGGGGTTTGCTGTAGGAAATCGGCTATGAATCTTATAAGCAAGGCCAAGAGGAGCTGTGGAATAAATATGGCTTCCTGTATGGATCAATATAGATAATCCCTACACTGTACAATTCCACGTCTTTAGTCACTTTAGAAAAAGACTCTGGGATCCAGAGTTTTGACAATACCTTGCCCTTGGTTTTTGCAAAGCAGTGCAAACAATTTCTTTGGGGCAGAAGTGTCAAAAAACTACTGAGTCCTGTAAAATGATCAGAATTTCATTAACATTTCAAATACTCTTTTTCACCATTTGAATCCCTGTCACAATGACTAAAATCTCTATAAAAAATCAAAACCTTTCCACTATCTTTCATGTTAATAATGAACACTGGATAAAGAAGGATCTCCCAGAGTGGTATTTTAATTAATACACTTTGCACTGTAACTAGCTTCTGGGAATTCAGATATGATTGCACAGGGGGACTTTAAAATTTAAATATTCCTAATAAGCTTTCTCTTACAGTTAACGTTAATTGAGGACTACAGACAAGAATGATTACTCTCCTACTAAAATAATTCCTCAGTTGAATTCCTGCAAGAATGCCTTTTGTTCTTTTGTGGGTTTTAGTCACAATTTATATTCAGGAATGGAGTATTGTGATTTTGCTATCAATCTTTTTAGCTACTTTTTTTCTTTTTAGTACAGTTTTATAGTTTTTTTTGCTGTGGTTGTCCCAGAATAGACAGAATGAAACCAGAAACCACAATAAAAATTGGTAAGCAGTACTGGAATAAACTGGTTTTACTCACTCAGAACGTGAATTGCTCAATTTATAAAGCTGAGTCTAAACTGAAAAAATAAGAGTAAATGAGTTATAATAATGCCCAAAAGACAATGAAAAATATGAGTTTAAATTCTAGTTTGCCAGCTGTTGGGTAGGTTTTCACAAACTGAGTAGCCAGTAATGAAAGGAGACCAGGGACTGTGACTTTATCACCGGATGTTGTATCTCTGCTGGTTTCTTATTTCCATATATTGGCTTTTGCAACTTACATAACAGTCTTTATATGCTGGGATGTTATCTTTTACAGTTCTACTAGCAGGGTAGTTCTTAAAAAATAAGAGGGCAATTCAGAATACAGAATATGTAAGCTAAACAAATTGACTTTTGGTAAATCCCCTGGACTGTGTTTGTTTTCCAGCACACTTCCATGCTTCAGCTTGCTGGTTTAGGACACAGTCTGTTTTATAAGGCACAGCCCAAGCCAAAAGTGAGAGATTACTGAGAAACAAAACAATGCTCCAAAGTTGATTTTGCGAAGCTGAAGTGCTCCACGGAGCATTTTATGTGTTTGTCTTTCTTAAATGCTCACTTAGAAGATGGACTTTGCTAGGTAGACATGTAAAACTTGGGTGCATCTATGTATTGTATGGCCAAATTGACCACCCAGCTGTTGAAATACTTTGCTCTTCTGGAACCCTCCAAATGCCTTGCATGGTGAATAAAATTAAATTTATTCATATGTACCATGATTCTGTCAATGAGATGAAGTGATTTCACCCTTCGATGCAAATTTTCAAAATTAAGAAATTAAAATGGCTTTATAAATGAATCTATATTTATATTGTAATTTGGTAGTGTATTTCTTCACTATGCAGAGGAACAGGTCATATTAAATCATGGTAAGCCTAGAAATTCTGACTGAATTTAGATTTTTATTTTCAGAATAAAATGTTCTGAAGGGATAGATGGAAAAGTTTCCTTTTTTATTTATCACCTAAGATATGCAGCTTCTTTTCCAGAATGTGATCTTGTGATCCATCTATTCTTCAACAAAAACCTGGACAGATTATGCAGTGCACGTCATCCCTTATCACACTGTGAGATGTGACTAAATTTGCAAGTTTGCAGTTCTTTGAAAATACATAGCTATGGATATGCCAGTAGAAGTCCTTCTTAAATCATTTTACCTCATACTTTTGCAAAGCAAGAAAAAACTGAAGTTTCATCTAGTTTTAGATGAACATTTAGTTTTGTCCAATCCAAATATCATTAAATTGGGTGTACTTTTCCTTAAGGTGACCAAAGAGCCCAGTGAGTGAGTTCTCCAGGCCTGTTCTAGTTGTAGCTGATCTCTCTGTGATTGTCTCTTTTTATTTTTCCTTTCAAAGCCTCAGCCTCACTCTTTGTTTCTTTGGCCTTTCTTGCTCTATCTCTTACCAGTTACATTTGTGCATGGCCAAGGTGAGAATTCCCTCTGTCCCATAATGATTTTTATTTTTTTCCCCCCCAAACACTAGATATTTGCATGCCCTGTGTTGTTTTCTAGTATTAAGATGTGTCAGTGATTACATCTACTGAGAGTGTGGGATGAAATCTGGTGCTCCAGTCTCTCTAACACCCAGCTCAACAGAGTATTGCAATCAATTTCTTTTTAAGAATAGATCAATACACTAAAAGTTTTCAACAAACTGAAAGTAATTGTGGCAAATGTGGTGGCCGTCAGTTTTAGCTACTCTGAGATGGATTTCTCTGTATAAGTTTGCTTTGCTATGTAGTTAGATGCTTGGATAAAAAAATAATTTCACCATGTGATACAACTCCACTGATCTTTCCAGCTTCACGTGAGTGCTTATGGAAGAATCTTGACACATTCGGCACATAGTCGATTGTAAAACATTATTTGTGGTGATAATAGTTGCTCATGAGAGACTTTAATAATTCTTAGAGGTTTTAATATAAAGAAAAAAATGTTGCAGATTGTAAAACATTATTTGTGGTGATGAATGGTTGCTCATGAGGGACTTTAATAATTCTTAGAGGTTTTAATATAAAGAAAAAAATGTTGCATTTTATTTTCTAATTTGCCATCTGGCAGGAAATCTTCCATGTCTTTATGAAAACTCACCAAATATACACAGGCTTGAGCAAGAAACACAGAAATATTAGCCATACTTTTACTTTGGGGAATGGGCCTATCAAACTGAATCATACTGGAATATATCAGCAACTGGGCTGTGGCATAGGTCTATTTTTAATCACAGAAATCAGAAATAGAGGGGACATATTCTAGGTCAGAATAATTTTCACAATATATTTTTAAATACTTCATGACATTTGATCAAACTGTAGAATTTAGAGATGAAAAAAAATAATCTTTAATTATTTGATTCACTGGATAGTATTTGATTAGACATAGCTTTTCCTTGATTCTTCTTTGGCTGGCTGTGATATTTCATATTGATTTAAAAGATTTACATATATTGATCTCAGAAATTGAGTCAAGGTTTCTCTTTTTATTCAACAGCATGAGGCACACTTTGAATTCGGAGCCTGCTTAAGCTGACATTTGCTCTAAGATACTGGGTGTAAAAAACCCACTATTTGGATATAGAAGCTGTTACTTATGAAAAGAATATTCAGCAACTATGGAAGTTTTTTGATCTCAAGCCGTTACTGACACTGGCAGAGTAAGACATGGAAAGAGGAAATGAAAGCACAAAGAACCACAAGCAGAATGAAGAGGTGAAATTGTCCCCTCTGCTTCTTATTCACAATCATCTTCCTTTTGCTTGAGTAGAGATAAATGTTTACAAAATAAAAACTTAACTATGTGATTTTGGCTTTCATTTAATAATGGGCACAAAGGAGATTTTGAGAATCAATGTATTCCACAATGATTATAAAATTTTAAGATGGGTTTTTTGTTTATTTAATTTTCCTGATGCCACTTCTGTTGTATTTGTGAGGATTTTGTTGATTTTTAAGTGGGATTCAATTTTATTTTCTCAACAGATTATACATAAGATAAAATGGGCTAGGCAAAATTCCTCCAATAAATATTTTTCTATTTTCTGTCTCTGTACATCAATATTTCTTATGGGCTTCTCCTTAGTCTTTAACACATGAAGATGTCCATTTGGGAAGGCCATTTAGATCATAAATGTATCAGGTGGTGTCAAGTGGTGGTGTCAATTAAAATGCAAAGGTGTCAGTCAGAGATCAAACATAGGCAGTAATGAGGGAAGAATAGTGTTTTGCTAGCAGGCATTGCTGGTTGTCTCTTTCCTTATTGATTCCTTACTTTGATTTTTCTTTAAATGCTTTTGGAGAACTAATTCTATAAAAAGTCTAATTAAAACTGAAGGGAGAAACAAGGAACTGAAACTGAGCTTCAAGCCTAATAATTTTCAAATATGCTTTTTGTGTGCATCTAACTTCAACTAAGCCAGCAAAAATCTTTTACAGCTCTAGGATACTGCTTACACGTCCTGAAAATTTTGCAGAGGACTCTTCCTCTTACCTACATCTCTGTTTGCCTCCCTCTGATTCCAGGAACCACTTCATTCAATTTCCACCAGTGTGAAACTCTTGCTTTTTTGTGGACCTAATTCATTAGCAAAAGAACAGAAAGTCCTGTCCTGAAAATTTTGCAGTATAGAGTCCTCTTACCTACATCTCTGTCTGCCTCCCTCTGATTCTAGGGACCACTTCATTCCATTTCCACCAGTGTGAAACCCTTGCTTTTTTGTGGACCTAATTCATTAGCAATAGAACAGAAAGACCTGGCTTAGCAATACTGTGTAACTGGCAGTTCAGGGAGAAACCACACTGAATTCTATTACTCCTTTGAATACTTTAAAATCAGTCTCTCATGTTACTTTCCTGGCTTGATTTTCTCTCAGTATTTCAGATTAGGCTGTTTCCTAAGTACTCTCCCCAGGTATTCAAACATCTTTTTCCGGAACTTTGCTCTCAAGTATTGCTCCTGCAACCTCAGGTTCTTCCCTCTCATTATTATTTCCCTCACTGGTTTCTGTATTGTAAGCAGAAGCAAATGAGGCCAGCTCCTCATTTGCACTTCTAATCTGGCTTGGATGACTATGTCTGTATTATCCCTAGTATGCATTTTATGCACCATAAACAAAATTTGGGACAGCAGAGTCAGTAGAAAGTACTTATACCTACCTTTTCCTGAAACAAAACTTATGCATACCAATGTGATTTGACCTTGTGAAAGGAGATTCTTGGGCATCTCAAAGCACCCCAAGTTCTCTCACCTGCCCAGTGTCCTACATAGAATGACCATATGCAGTTGGGATAGATGGAGGCTGTTCAGCCATGCCTTGAGTGGGTGGGGCTGTTTGCACTTCAGGTGAATGTGTGACTAAGTGGGTTTCAAAGTGCCTGCAGTACCAGCAGACAAATGTGGAGATTTGCTTAGAGCATGGTGGCTGAGTCACTGTAAAGCAAGCCCCATTTATGTCTTACAAGTCAGCACTTTACATACCTGCTGAATACAGCCTTTAGCCCGTATTTACAGATTGGCATGCCCTCCCTGCTGACCAGTCCTTCAGGATACATTACCTCAAGTCTTGGTGTCTTCTCCCCTATGGCAAAGAGAGGGAATGATGTCTTGGGCTGCATTGACAAAGCACTGCCAGCAGACGCAGGGAGGAAACTGCTGCTCTGCTTAGCACTGGTACTCAGTACCAGGGAATACCACACTGCACTGGAGTACTGCATCCCATTCTGGATAGCCCAGTGCCACAGAAATATGGATGTACTGGGCCTTCCAGTGGAGGGCCATGAAGATGCTGAAGAGACGAGCATCCCTCTGATGAGGAAAGACTGAGAGAGCTGGGGCTGTTCAGCCTGGAGAAGAGAAGGATTTCATCCATGTGTAGAAATACCTCAAGTGAGTGGGCAGAGAGTGCACAGCCAGGCTCTTACCAACAGTGCCCAGTGATGGACCCAGGGGCAGTGGGCACACATCAGCATACAGGAGGTTCCTTCTGAACATCAGGAAAGAGCTTTTTACTGTGAGGGTGACTGAGCACTGACACAGGTTACCCAGGGAGGTTGTGGAGTTTCTATTCTTGTAGATATTCAAAATTCACCTGAACATGGGCATGGGCAACCTGCCAATATGTGGCCCTGCTTGAGCAAGGGGGTTGGAGCAAATGACATCCAGAGGTCCCTTCCCTCCTCAACCATCCCGTGATTCTATAATTAATTTTAAGCACAAAAGTCCAGAACAGTTCTTGGCAGAACCTGAAGATCCCCTTGTACTATTATTTCTCTGTCAGAACTATAGTGTTATATGAATGACTAGATATCTCTTAGGTCATTCAGTTTCCTTACGTTCATACCTCAAACTTTTTGGGTGTTGGACCTTGTATCTGAATTGTCATTTTAGCTCTTTCCAGTTCTGTACTTCCCTCAAAGTCCTCCACAGAAATCTCAAATGTAATTTCCATCAGCTGATGTGTTTAATCATCCATTATCTTAATCAGTCATCTTTTGTGTGTGTTATCCTATAGTTGTGCATGCCAGTTCAGTTAATATGCTTGATGCATAAACATCTGCTTTGCTAACATGATGATTATTATTTTTGCCATAAACAGAGACAAGAATTAGAAGCAAATGCTGCCACTGACATTCTTTGAGGTAATTGGGTTTTTCTTCGCCAGTGGCTTACAATTACTGTATAGCTATTTTTGTATATAACAGATTTCATGGTTCTAGTAGAAGGGATGAGGTCACTGTTTCATATCTATGGAGATATGGATCAGCATGCAGTATTCTACTTGATACAGTAATTTGATACAGGAGCTCTACATTGTTTCTGTTGGCACTGTGAATTCAGAAATCTGTACTTGCTATCAAAATAGCATATGCACACCCTTTAAGGCAAATTCTCCCTTTTTTTGTTTGCTGAGAAATTTTTCTTTGCAGAGGAATTCTTTCTTTCCTGGTTTTCAAGGATTTTGTTTGCACCCTTAAAACTCCTGCCATTCCTAGTCTGGGAAAATACCATTTTAACAAAAAGCATTACTTATTTATGAAATATTCCCATTATTGCTGTGCATCATTAAACCACCATGAAAACATCAGAGAAGCTGAATTTGGATACTGCTGTGGCACAGATGATTTATGTCCTTATGCTTTTTTTAGTAATGCTTTGTGAAGTGATATTGACAGACACAAGGTTTTCTATGTGCAATATGATTGTAGGTCTTGGCAAGGAAACTATTTTAGCTTCATTTTCAGATAGACAAGATTTTTTTTAGAAACAAAAATTCTTTCTTTGCCAGTAATCACTTTTAGCTACAGTTCTTTTACATGACCAGTAGAAAGCCTTTGTGTGAGTGGAAGGACATCCCTTAAAGTATGAAAAAATTTCTTGGTCCAGTTAGCGGCATGCTAAATAATCACGACTGAAAAGTACTATCCAACCAAAACTAGGTGAAAACCAGGTGACTTGGTAGAGGTATGCATTGTTGTTTAATATCAAAATAACAAAACAGGCTTATTGTGCCTTTTTCTCACAGCAGCTCCCTAATTCCAGAAATATTAATAACAAAAAAATTTAAATTCTTCTCTGTGCTTGAGAATAGATGTGAAAATCATTTTTATATGTTTTGATCATGCTATCTATGACTATTAATCTATCTGCTGTGGGGTAGAAAAACAGACTGCAAAATATTTTTTTTCAGGTTCTGTCTTTCATTTTGCAAGATGTGAACTTTTTTTCCCTTAATAATAAGTAGAAAAGTTGTTCTTAAAAGCCTTGACCTGGGTGCTTGACTTTTTGTCTAAAGAAGAATACACCCACATAATTGGTGTAGAAAAAATGTGACCCCTTGTTATCAGCAGATACTAAAGCTCTGTTTTATCTTTTGATGGGTTCAGTATGTGCTTCCAAAGCCATCAGCCTGAGGTCTGACCTCACATTCATACAGTTTCTTACATTCTTCTGAGATTCTTATAGTTACTATGCAAACCTGTCCTTCATTTTAAAGAGGATTTTCCTTGAAGGAGTTGTGCAGAAATGCTCCTGTTCTTTATTCAAGGTGAATTCCTAAAGTTGTAAAGGTTCAGTGCAGTTAGGAAACTTGTAAGTAAGAGTAGAGAGTGAAACAATGTCATTACAAAAATTATGTTGGTATTTGCCTAGCAACCCTCTTGAAATCCAGGCAGGCCCTTAAAAAGTACTCCTTTTCCTTCTTACAGCAAAGGCATTCAATCCCAGAGCTTTTTAGTAAGTCATGATGGGACTGTTCCACAGTCTCCTCTTCTATATTACTTAATTAACTAGTCAGACTTAGTTCATTAGTAAGGGTTATCATTCTTTATCCAAATCTTACTAACAGGTTACAAAAAGCAAATGTCACCAATTGCAACTATCATAACTGTAATAATCTATTGTAGCTTTTTCATTAGGGAGTCCTTTCATGTTTGTTAACTTGGTCAAGAACTGTGAGGGGAACAGAGGTCTCTCTGCAGTAGCCTCTTCCATGAAAAGTGTTAACAGTAAAGCTTGTGCTGCCAAAGTGACTGTGTAGCCCTTTGGTATCTGAGCCTCTGCTCAGAGAGGATGTTCTGCCTAACTGGCTGTGCTACCTTTGTACTCAGGTCCCCAGAAGCATAAGCTGTCTTTGTTTTGGTACAGAGCACTGGCTTACAGGGCAAGCTTTGTAAGTGTTCTTTCCTTAGTGCAATACAGCCAAGAAAAATGCTTGAGAGACTTGACAAGAAATGGTTTTTTTTGTAAAAAAGATGAAGAAGAGACTGACATGACCTTAATAGGCATCCATCTGCTATGTGACTTCATAGCTTGCGAATGCTGTGCTGCACCCATCTGCTACAACTGGCTTCCTGAAACTTAAAGAAAAGGATCTCACTCCATAACTCAGGCTTAGAAGATTTAAAAGAAGAAAGGAGCCAAGTGAAGTGCCGAAAACGGAAGGTTCACCTGCATTATTCAGGAAAATAAAATTCTGAATTGTCTGTGTAATTCTTGGAAGATGCTCCAGTCTTGGATATTTGACTTGCTGTTGGAAGGTCCAGTCCCAGCTGGAAGAGGAAGGTAGCATTTTCTGTGGTCAGCAGGACTGAAGACAAAGCCCAAGACTTCTAGAACCAGAGCTACTAATGACACACTTCAAAAACAGGAATGAGGCTGGGAAAGTCAGAGGAAGGGTCCTCACAGAAGCAGCCAATAAGACCTGTCATTGCAAAGAAATCTAACTCTCCTACCCTTTTCTTAAAAATGGTGCTGTAAACCAGAAACTTGAACAAGAAGCGTGATGTTTACCAGGTTTCCAGAATCTTTGTGCACAGTCTGTCTATCTGCTGTGTTCTCTGCTTGATCAATATTTTAATTTCCAAATGTCATCTGTCATCTCTTCTAAAGCACTTAAATAATGAAGTATTACTCCCATAGATCTCACATGTATTTACTGTAATGAAGTGTAACTTGGAAGTATATGATGGTGATGAGGTTACCTTCCTCTTTGCATATTTTAAATGAACAAAAATGTATAATAGTTACCAGACATAGAAAAGATCTGGTCTGTAGGGTCTAGCAAGCATGGGATCCTAGAATACAGTGCTGAACAGCTAAACTGTGGGAGTCAGGCTTGTGCCCTTGGTCCTACAGGGAAGTAAAATTTCTTTGTGTACCAGCTCACTGTTCACACTCAATCTAATGGTTTCCATTAGAAGGCAGTCACATCTGCTGTCCTATAAAGCCCCTGTTTTGGACAATGAGAAAGTCAAGTGTACTGATGATATCATGTGACCTCAGAAAATATCATTAATAAGTTCCAAAAAAGCACCATGTTCCTGGTAAAAAGGATTTAGCCTATGAGACCTTCCTCTTTACCTTTCCCAGTGAAAAAAAAGGTGACAATGATGTAGAATGGGGTCATTACTCAGATTCATGGGTATGTCAGTCATGGTGGGGCTGTCATAAGGATAAAACTTGAAGGCATGTAGAAGATATCTGTTGCTAATGTATACCATTATATTAATTTAGTGAGTTCCATGTATTAAATAAATGCATTAAGTGATCTTATTTTTTACTCTTATATGGATTTCACCACAGTTCCAATTAGGTGACTATTTTGTGAGAAAGTTTTGCATAATCAATCTATGATAAAAGAAAAATTAACTCAGTATTATATAATAAAACAATAGTGACAATAACAATAATAATAATGGTAATCTCCTCTCATGACTCCTTAAAGCCTCAAAGCTGAATGTCAAAAAAATATGAGGGGAATGAAAATAATCAAGATTTTGTTTGAAGAATGGGGATTTTGTTTGTGTTTCAAATGTATTGTTCGCTCTTCTGAACTTTCAGAACAATATGCTATTCTCAGATACTGCCATAGAGCTCTAAACAGTAACAGTATTTGTAGTCATGTGTTCAAAGAAAGAAGTGAGCTCTGAAGTATCTTCACTGGATTCTGTTAAGGATAATTTTCTAAGATACAGACATTTTGCATTAAAGGGAACCCCAGTACACTGCTGGACACCTCCCT